TTTAAAAGTATCACACTTGTTACCAGAATCTGTTTTAAAGGCACTCGTCTAAGATTTAAATATGGGCCACACGTCAGTCTTCGCTGTTGCACGAATAGGTGGGTCCGTCCGGGGAAGTACCACGACCTCACAGACCGGCGTGAAGTGGAAGAGTTATACTTCTGCCTTTCGTCTTGAGAGTATTGTACCCAGGGCCCACTTTATTAAAAAGTGACAACGCATCCGCGACCCAACGGGTGTTGCAAATGCCCATGCCATCTTCTTACATAAAAACAATACATTGCTTTATTGACCTTCTTAGCTTCTCCTATATGTACACAGTTTAAATCGAACATGGAGTCCAAAGTCACGTCTGGCATAAGATATTCGGTCACGGGCTTACTTCTTCTATAGTGTGATTTATACTTAGAAAGATGGTTTAATTGCACCTCACGTATAAAACTATTTTGTCGCTGCATTTGTTCTTACCTCCACTTTCCCATCCTATTCTATATAATATTTATAATTCTATGATATCACTTTAATTAAATCAGTATTATTGATCTTTGTAGAAACGCCAAGTGTTTTGATATATAAATTCAGGTGCACTTCGACTTTTTCCAATAGATATTTACGAGAGAATTTATATATTTCGAAAGTAGTAAGTATACGAGTACCTATATTACGTTGTTTAAAGGCAAGAGGCATCTAACAAGTTATGATATTTGGTACCTTTGGGCGATGATGTGTTTCAAAACGTTATATTGCTAATGGAATCACATACTAGTGGTTCTACTATTTGTCACAATGTATTTATACATGATGGAACCGAATGCTTGTGGTTCCATTTTGCAAAAAATATTACAATATAAATTATGAATTTATTTTACGCATAACGATACCCCAGAATCTTGGTTCCATTTGGTATATTAAAAATGATTGTTAATAATTGAAATCTGCGAAATTTATAATGGAACCAAGTATGTATGGATCTGTTTTGTATAAAATGACATGGTAGTAATATAGTTTATTTATTTGAACAATCGAGTCCCATTGTACTGTGGTTCGGTTTTGCTTTATATGTAATGCAGTTGGTTCCTTTCTGCTTTTTGTATACCCTATTTCCAAGGGAAAAATCATGGGGTTCTTTTTTGAATAAGAATTTAGACCACTTTCAAATTCAATATTCTTAAAAAAAGAAAAACACAAAATTGTCGTGTGGTTCCATTTTGCATAAATACGGACAATTGCTCTTACGAAATTTAATCCACTCATACAGTACATAAGCAAACGTCATCGGCATCCGCATTGGGGTAGACTCAGATGGCCAACAGCCGGCAATCCTCTCATTTTGTTAATTACTATGCTTTAAACAGGACTTTTGAAACTTAGCTTTTGCACAAGCTCTTTACGCGAAGAAGCTTTATATAGGTATAGTCAAAGTAGAAACCCTCTCGAACCAGGAGGCATGTAGGGGACATGCGCCTGCCGCTCCCCCAATCTAGAGGCAGGGGTCCATAAAAGTATTTTCCCTAAGTCAGAAAAACTGTTTTGACATTGGCGTCGCGAACGGGTGCAGGAGGGACGGGCAGGGGTCCATAAAAGTATTTTCCCTAAGTCAGAAAAACTGTTTTGACATTGGCGTCGCGAACGGGTGCAGGAGGGACGGTTCGCATGAGTAGTACCTGGCAAAAATTTAAAAATTGGAGGTTTTTCAAACGGTTTAGAGAAGGGAAAGTAGAGAATACTTGGAATTTTTTTAAGGTTTAACAGGTTTTGCTAAAATCACCAATTATGTTCACAGCTACATATTTCTGTAGTGGAAAACTTATATAATTGGAGATTGTATCATAAAATCCTCGTTTTAATATAAGGCGAAGGTAAATGCACAATTTTCTACCTACCTATTTTGCTTTTCATGGAAATACATTATAATTATTTATAGGTGGCAGGGCCACGCAACAGTGTGCGCTGTTGCACGAATGGGCAGGTCCGTCCGGGTTAGTACCACGACCTCACAGAAGACCGGCGTGAATTAGAAGTGTTGCACTTGTGCGTTTCGTGTGGTGAGTGAGGTAGCCGGGGCCCACTTCATTAAGAAGTGGCAATGACTCTGCAACCCCCTGTTGCAAATGTTCATGGGCAGGCGGTTATCACTTATCATCAGGTGGACTTACCAGCTTGTTTGCCACTTTCTCACATAAAAAAATAAAATAAAATTGGCCCATATCTAGTATTTATAATTTTTGGGTTTATTTTGATTTACAACAGGTAAAATTAAAATATCAGTAGAAACTCAGTTTCAACTAGACCTGATCAGTAACCATAAGATGATCTGGTCATTTACTACTTCCTCTTATAAAAAAAATTGTCAGGTTCTTAGGCCTTTAAAAAGATTAACAAGTTGGTAGAGAGAGTGCTTCATGGTAGTTTTATGATCAGAATGAAAATTTACTGGTACAGGCTTAAGTTACAACTATCTGTAACAACCCGTACCTTCAGGGTAGTAAAAGTACTCAGATAACATAGATTCATTGACTTTTCTATATGCAGGAATATTAAAAGACTGCATTGCCGAAATAATAAATATACTTAAGGTAATACAATTGTTCTGCAAATAACAACAACTGTTTGCAAAGTTACATAATATGTTTCACTCTGGTATTGTGTATTCATAAAATTTCATATAAATTGCATATAAATCGGGATAAAAATATCACAATTTGCAGATCATTTTCATATTTAAAGTGAAATGTTTTACTGACACATAAAAATTTCATAACTATATAAAATGGTGTAGCATCAAAAAAGACTATTAACACCATTGAAATTCCTGTTTTTGATGTTGCATTATTTTCAATAAAAAAATAATAATAAATGTTCTTAAATTATTTTAGTTTACCCCATTAAAGGATAAGTTCCGTTTTTCACCAATTTGTTTGTAACGTACCACTACTGTTTCAAAATAAAATAAAAAAAACATAGCTCTTATAATAGTTGCGCTTACTTATACATTTACAGTATAAGTGAAAGTTCAGGAACATTAACATTGTACTGGAGGCAACTTACTGTACTATAATTTAAAATACATCTTTGATATGTCAAATATTTTATTTTATTACTATTATTGCTAACACGGGAAGAAAATTCTACATATGTAATATGTAGGATATTAGGGTATTCAAAAACAACCAAAAATTTATAATTGTATAAGGCGGACTATCTATACAAATAAAAACCTTTCACAACCATATAGCAATAGGTTGTGTTAAACTTAAAATGACCTGACTTAAGTTTATTCCACGAGTTTTGCAGATGTAACATTGAGTGCAATATTTAAGTTACGGGTCAATAGAACTAGAAATAATATATAAGAGTATGATCCCAAAACCGAAAAATTACATTATTCCCATTTGAAAATAAAATTTGTAATTACTTTTCGACAAATTTAAAAAGATAACTCCTACACATACGTTAGCCAATTAACTGAGATGGCCACTGTTAGCGTTTGACTGTGGCCACAGCTTTCAGTGTAAGCCAATATGTAACAAAGGTAGAACCAATATGTAACAAAAGTTAACTAAATATCAAGTAAACTAATATTCAAAGTATGTTTCATTATCTTTTATATTTTCCATGCTCAGATAAGTATGTTGTTTTTACCCTATCTCTGACAGTTCTAAAGAAACTAAAAAAATATGAATATACAACAGTTTTGTTTTATGTAATTCAATTAGTTTATACAAATTATTAAGAATACTCAAATCTAACAATTTTGGTCAATTCAACAATGCAACAACTGGTATGGCCTTTCTGTGTCAGCTACTATCTTATTTACCGAAATAAATCATATTTTTATAGACTTGCTTTTGCAATTTAGTGAAAGATGAAATTAAAAATCTAAAATATAAACTTCACCTTAACTCAAATAGTGGAAATCAAGAAATATTAACACAACATTTCAGGTATTTGCAGATATAACAACTAAAACAAATATAACAAGAATAATAAACGAGATTTATTATTAGCAAATGTTTCAATATAATGTTACTACTATTATCAGTGGTTTTTCATTTTTACAGATATGAATGAGAATTTACATTTATATTCATTTTTCTCATAAAATAAAACGTTTTTGTGAAACAATGCAACATGATTTTAAAGTAATTGTGTTATAGTAGTGGGACAAAGACACGGGAATAGCAAATCAGCAATAATGAGGGCATAATAGTCTTTGCTGGTGCAACACCTTTTACAATATTTTATGTAAAGAATATGAAAATTATTACGCTATCCAAGAGTAAAAATTCAGTCTGACCTATAAATAGATATGCAGTCGTAATAAATATCATTTAGACATGGACCATGAAGTAACTAAATTCAACTTAGTAAATAAATTGATTTTCTTACTACGATATATAAAAATATACAATAACACTAAAATTATTCATGTTTAACGTTGCAACATTGATCTATTTGTTACAATATAATTCATATAATTCATCCGAGAACAAAGTTGACCGTGCAAATTAATGACTAAAAAGTTACATACATATAATAAAACATTGTATAAGAAATCAAACCATTGAAATGAATACAGTAGTTAATTATAAAAAAAATTCTCAAAAACAGTTGTACTTGAATGGAAAACAAAATAATTTCTCTCCAAAGCATTTACCTCATTTAACAGTCAACTTTATCTCTGATATTATGTTGGATAAGACAGATTTAAGTGTTATTTATATTGCATTCAAAATTATAATGAAATGTTACTTATATATTTGTTTTAGTAATATAATTAATTAATTTCAAACATTATTGTAACGAAATGTACCTAGTTTAATTATATTCTTTATTTATAATGTAGATATAATATAGAAGAAATAATGTAGAAAACAAGAAAATAATATCCATATGCAACACTTAAATCTGTCTGTCGCATCTATACCAAATCACACTGCACTGGACCACAAGTCATATATTTAAAGTCTTTCCTATTCACACAATTACTTCAGTCCTCAATACATAACTTCGTACACAGTAGCCTTCTTGTCCCCAGAGCCCGTCACTATGAACTTATCGTCTGACGATATATCACAACTGAGCACCGATGATGACTCTTTCGACTGGAAACAAAAGCATACCACAGTATAACTTAAGCAGGCATTAAAGATGACTACTATCAGATGACTAAACACTGGACCTAGGGCCACGCAACGAAGTGTTATTTTTCTACGTTTCGTCTTGTGAGTGCGGTAACTGGGGCCTACATTATCAAAAGGTTGTCAACGCATCTGCAACCCCACAGGTGATGCAAATGTCCATGGGGCGCAGTTATTCCTTAACATCAGGTGAACCGCCAGCTCGCTTGCCACCTTCTTAAATAAATAAAAAACATTATTTGTTCCTGTCAAAATGCCCTGCATTCAAACTTACAAGTTTCATTATGAATGCTGAGGAGTATAAAAATATAAATATCTGCAATTTTAGATGGTAAAGTAACAAAGTAGTGGTTCTCATAATGTCAAATGACTAACCCCGACTGTAGACATCTACAACACTTGTGGGATTTCAAGTTGCAAGTGAGTTTTTCATTACCATTAATCACTATTAATCATATAAAATTAAAATGACAAATAGTTTAATTTAACGCACTACAGAAACTATCCATTAAATCAGCAGAAGCTGCCTCACAATTTTGCCAAAGTAAAAAAGAGCTTTAAACAGAATTGCATTATGTTTAATACTGAAATGACAAGTCTCACATATTAGTCGGTCTTGTTGATGTCTACGGGGGGTGGTGGTTCTCAATAAAACTTTATGGTAAATAGTAAATGCTCTTACGGCGTTACCTGAAAGATGCTGGCACCGTAAGGCGTCCGCCACGCGTTAAGTAAGTTGTCTTTGCCCGTAGAGACGAACCACTTGCCGGCGGCGGCGAATTTTAGCGACAGCACGCACGACTCGTGAAGAAGGAGCTGGTAGCGGTCGGGTTTACCGCAGTGCAGCACCTCCACTTGAGAATTCTCCATGCCCACAGCCAACCAAGAGCCTGCCAGGAAAAGTAATGAAAAGTAAAAAAAATTGTAATGTATCACTCTACATGTGTCCCACTGTTAAACAAAGGCCACCTCCATACAAAGGGTATTAGGGCATCACGCGACCACACTGCAGATACCCAAAAGGTAAAATGGAACCTTATTACTAAGATTTCGTCGTCTATATATCTGTATGTCACCAGGCTGTATCTCATGAACCATGATAGTTAGATAATTGAAATTTTCACAGCTGATGTATCTCTGTTGCTGTTATAACAACAAGTACTAAACTATTACATATTGATATTTAGTAAAACTTGGGCACTACTAACAATGATAAAAATCATTTTTGGACTACTTGGTAGGATTATGCACAGTGGTTGGTAGGATTATACAATAACAAACCAGTTGGACAGTATCCAAGTGAGAATATCTGGCTGGAGAAATCGTGCTGGTGCAGCTGACGGCCCTCTCGTAGGTCCCAGGAGCGGACCGTACTGTCTAACCCGCCAGTCCAGAGACGCGACCCGTCCGCACTAATGTCGATGCAGGACGCTCCATCCGTATGTCCTGGTAAGAAATAATAAAGAAAAGTGAGTGTTGTATAACATTATGTTCTTCATCATCAAAGTTTCAGCCTATTACTGTGTCCGGGCGGTCGCCTTTAATTCAATATACTCGAGCAACCTGAGTTTGATCCATGGTGCAGGCACCAATGAAATAGTTAAATTTAAATGCCGAATTATCACGTGCTCAGCGGTGAAGGAAAATATTTTCCTTCGTGAGGAAACCTGCATCTTTTCGAAATAATAACAAAAAAAATATTTAGAAGATATGCCACCAATAATATATAATAAGATCCACCAATCCGCAGTGGAGCCGCGTGGTGGACTATGCCCTGATAGCCCTCGATATATAAGATGATACTAGATAGATACAGAGGAGGCCTTTGCCAGCAGTGGGACATGTGTAGGCTGATACTGTATATATGTTTTAAATTATTATGTTTTATTTATATATTATGTATAGTACCCGGATTGTATAGATTGTAGTCCCGGATAGGATGTAAATTACATTTAGATACAAATTACTGAGTAATGAAATATGCATAATGTTTTTCGATCTTACCGACATAATAATAAGAAAATATGAACTGATGTTTTTCACAAAAGAAAGAACTTTAAAAAAAAAGGGAAAAAAAATAACAAAGTAACAAATCGACAAAAACTTAAAATAAAGAAAGCAATGATCTGGAATCGAAAAAAAGTAAAACAATAAATGTGTAAATGATCGTGACGCGAACCACGGCCGTCTGTTTAGGGGCCGCCCGATTACCGACCGAGCTATTATGACATTTTCTCTTGCGGCGAAATTTACCGTCATATTCGAATTATATTTTTCATTCCCTGAAAACAGGGATAAAATGACATTTTCTAAAAATGAAACCTAGTCAGTTCCATTTTTCGCCCCCGAATCTACGCACATACTAAATTTCATGAAAATCGCTGAAGCCGTTTCGGAGATTCCAATTATATATATACAAGAATTGCTCGTTTAAAGGATAAGATTAAATACAAGTATTACGGACTTTAACGCTTTTCAATGTTGGTTTACCAATATTAAATGCGACAAATGCAATAACATACATTTAAAAAGATGTAGTGTTCTCGTAAATATAAGAAATAATAATATGTATTATTATATTTGTATAGAATGCTTCAATTTAAAAGGAGGTATCATTTTTATACAGTAATAGCTTTACTAACCTTGGAATTGCCTAACTAATGTTTGATTATGTAGATCCCATACAGCTATGTTACCATCTGAACAACAACTGAAGCACACCTGCAAAAGGAATGGTAATAAAATTCACAAGGTAAGATCAAGTCAATCTTGTCATAATAAGGGTGGGTCACTACTGGAAAAATATTGAAAATTATATTATAAACTTAGTTTTTTTTTGCAATATCTGGGTGTTTATATATCCATAAAATGTATTTATTTACAAAAAGTATGTTTGAGTTTGTTTATCAGTTATCTAGTACCCATAGTACAAGCATTGCTTAGTTTGGGACTAGACCTGAAATATTATGTCCTAAGAATTATTGCAGCTTTTTTTTTAAATGAAAAGGTAGCATACGACCTGGCGGTTCCCGTGATGTTAAGTGATAACCGCCGCCCATTGACATTTGCAACATCCGTAGGGTTGCAAATGCATTGTAATATTTTAATAAAGTGGGCCCCGGCTACATAACTCACCAGACAAAACGCAGAAGTATAATACTTCCAACTCACGCCTGTTTTCTGTGAGGAACTACCCTGGACGGACCCACCCATTCGTTCAACAGCGAAGACTGCTGCGTGCTACCATAGTAGCTATCACGAGTCTGCCAATTTCACGTTGGCAGCTGGCAGCCGCACCTTGGAGTCCGGGCTGATGGCGAGCGCGTAGCAGGCCGGCGCCGATGAGGTGAGCTCGGCCCTCATCCGCGGCGTGGGCGAGGCCAGGTCCCATATGGAGAGGTTAGACGCCTCGCCGCCCACTATCAGAGTCCGCCCGTCGGGCAGCAATTTCACCGAGCGAATGTAGTTGTCTCGTTGCTGCGGACACATATCAGAATATAAAATAAATTGAATTGAATGAATGAATGAAATATGCTTTATTGTACACGGGGCAAAAATTATAAAAAGTAACAAATTGGTACGATCGGCCTCATCGCTTAGATGCGATTTCTTACAGACAACCATTTTGCAGAGGATACAATGACCATTGAGAAAGGATGGAAGGCTATTGTAAACACTTATTCTATGAATTCTAGTACACGTCGTTATGCAGAAACGCCAGTGTTCTCATTTAGCACCAATCGCAAATCTATGCGTAACCCGTATTAATGCCGTTACGCATAAATAATTATGTACATTTTTCTATTCGAAACTGGCCACCGCTTTACTGCCATCCCAACTGATAAGTGACGACGCAGCCGCTGATGGTAGCTCAGTAAAAGCCTATATTCACTATTGTCTTGAACACGCTTACGTTATAATCGGATGGAAAGTCGAACGCCGGCAGGTTGTTCCATTCCTTAGCTGTACGGATGAAAAATGACGATGCGAATCGCTTCGTTCTTGTGCGTGGAACGTCAACAGCAAAAAAGTTGGATACAATCTATTACGATCCTCATCGACTTATAGTCAAACCGATCTCACAATCTATTATGAGCCTTGTCTAATAAATGATAGAGTCGAAATCGGCGCAACGCACCAGGCAGTCGAGCTGCGCGAGTGGCTCCAGGGCCGCCGGCGCCGAGGGCTCCGTGATGTCCCACAGCTTGACGCAGCCCTTGCCGCCGGTGTAGGCGCGCCGCGCGCCGGCCGCGTACGAGAGCGCCACCGCGCACACCACCTCGCCGTGCGGCAACGCGGCCGCCGCCCTGGCGCCCCTGGGCACCCCTGGCGCGGCGAGCGCGTCCGCCGGGAACGGCACCGGCTGCGGCGGCCCGCCGCACGTGTGGTACGAGTACGCCCTGCAACGGTTAATGACCGATTAAAAACGTAGGTAATCGTAAACGTTATTGAGCCGAGTGTCTAAATAATCTTTTTAAGCACCAGCAACCATTCGGCTACATGTAAAGTTTTCTTAAGCGGTTTATTTTTCTTTTCTTATAGAAAAGTGATCGTGTTCTACTTGCTTCTCAAATTGGTCCTCAAAGAGAAAATGGCAATATCCAATTATAACTAAATGTCGTCTACGTTGTGAGCTTGTGGCAGTTACGATCACGGCTTTGTCGGTGGGTATGTGTGCGTGTTGCCTTCACACCTGTACGCGTGCACACGTGTGCGTGTCGTACTCACGGCTTAGCGGGCGGCATCCCGTTGGTCCTCGCGTGCGCGCCGTCGTACGGTAGCGGCGCCCGGTACGCCGCGTACGTGGGGAACGCGTAGCGGCCGGTGGGGGTGGGCGCGCGCCCTTTGGCGCCCGGTGTACCCGGCTTCTCCTGCGGCACGAGATCGATCGGTTAACGACAGTGCGAAACAGTGACGTCACTCGCTTTTCAACCGACTTAAAAGGGGGAGGTTCCCAATCGGTAGCATTTTTTTAATTGGTGTTGCCTCGGAACTCCGATTTGCATGAATCGATTTCAAAAATTGTTTTAACATTGGGTTCGATGCAGATCCCCTGTTGTCTATATTAATTTAAATTGCAGTGGTATTGCACTCTACAAACGTTGAGCAACGTATGTAAAACATTTAACGCGTTTCACGCAAGAAGATTATAATTTAAAGCCGTATTAAGTAATTAAGTATGAGTTATTCCTGCTATTCTGTTCAGAGGTTGGTAATTTTAATAGAGAGAGAAGAAGAGGAACGCACGAGGTTTCTTTCTCATTCGTTCCTCTTCTCAATTGATATTTGACAATTGAGTCAGAGAAAGAGAAACTAATAGAACAAACAATAAAGGGGTTAGGGGACAGTGAAACATGAGAGTGGAGTGCCGTACGTCTTTAGAGCTTTTGGGCGTCGACCGGCTGGAGGAGGATCCTGAACGCGAGGGTGGTCTGGGCCCGTTTTCCGTCCGCTCACTGCCCTCAGGGCGGACGCTGGGCGAGCCTCTCTCCTCCTGGAATGATTCAATCCACCCTTCTACACTTTTTCCGTGGTACGGCCACGCAGCAGTCTTCGCTGTCGAAGTAACACTACCTGACAGAAGACCGGCGCGAAGTGGAAGTGTTATACTTCTGCGTTTCGTCTGGTGAGTGAGGTAGACGCGGCCCATCTTATTAAAAGGTCGCTAACGCATCTGTTACATAACGGGTGTTGCAGATGCCCACAGGCGGTGGTTATCACTTAACATCAGGTGACCGCAAGCTCGATTGCCCTTAAGAAAGGCAAATACTTCCGTTCTATGTCGGTCCTCTTTAAGGCCATTGTCCCGATGAACTTCCTATTCGAGAATTTTCGCTGAAAACATTATAGATGAATCGACTATTCTCTCGTTATGATCTCAAAGCGGACAGAGTCTGAGGTGTGAAATACAATATTATGTACTTACTGAACCATAATTATAATCATTTCTGTTTTCCTTCTTAAGTATAAATCGATTCCATAAAGTGTCTCTGATTCCATATCAGATAGAAATTGCATACAAAATATACCAAAGATACTCCGATATTTAAAGCTTAAGAATTATAATCTTTGTGCGGTTATTTACATGTTAATTTTTAAGAGATAAAAAGCAGCTCAAGATATAATCCAATACAAGTTCGAAACCATTCAGACTTGAATGGGGAACGAACATTAAGAAACTCTTTCGCACCACAGCTTAAATCGCTTCCTGTCTCACTCCACGGCGTACAGTCTCGAGCAACATTTTTTTCGGTTTTTTAGTTTTTCGGTTTAGTGAACATAGATTTTTAAGATGCCGTGTTATATATAGCTTTGTCAGGCGACCATTGTAATTGACGTTACCAATTTGTAATGACATTTATAATGTCAATGCGTTGAAACCAATATGTGATCCGCTTACGGGATTCGCAATATCGGTGCAATGTGAGCAGTTTGTCACACCCTTGCGGAGATTATAAGTGCGAAGTGACAAGTTTGTCACCCGCAAGGTATGCCGCAATTCCCCGTACACTCGGGGCCACTTACCTCGTTCGCAACATCAACAACTAAATCCTGATCGCTCTTTTCGGCGTCACTGTCCTAGAAGTATAATGCGCATGTCAGTACAAACAGTTCGGACGGACGGTTTCAAAAGTTAGCAATGGTCATGGACTCTACGTATAGCGATGTTAGAAGCAATTTCGTCACGGACCTAAGTACAAGCGTTAAAAGCATCAAAGGGCCGGCCAACTGACGTTTCTGCAACTCTGTTGGGTGTCTACCCTTTTAGTCTTAAGGACTGAAAAAGAAGGTTTGTTCAGGAACGGAGCTCTTAGTAAAGCTGGTTTATACGGGTGTGTACAGTGGATAATTTCTACATACGGCATAAGGATAATTTTGTAATATGATATTCATTTACTACCTACAAGAAAATTTGTCAACAGTTACGTATTTAAATAAATTAACTCGACATCGATGAAGATTTATTGAAAACTGTAAATTTGAAATTAAGGCGCACAGTACCAGGTGTACTAGTATACCTGATACCCAGTGAATGTCTCAAAAGTAAGTAGTTTTACTTATCAATGCATCCTATTGTAAAGGACTTTCATTTAGCTTCACAAAGCAAAGGCGTATCAAAAACTCCTATAAAAATCATTTCGACTCGACAACTGTCCCAACATTTGTTAGAAATCATTGTAAGACGTCGAGGTCCAAGTTAATTAAAACGGTAGTGCCTAGTACTACGGACGAGCTCACTGGACAAATTATAAGAAAAAACAAACGCGTACAGTACATAAAGAAAAAGCAGATGCGTCAGTAAATTAAAAAAAAACACAGTACACAGAGAGAAAACAGAGGCGTCAATTTAAAAAAAATATCAGCACAGTGCACTTAGACGAAACAGAGGCGTCAATAAAATAAAAAGACAGAGTAGTGAAGAGACAGAGGCGTCTGCCGGCCGGCCGCGGGCGGTGTAAGCTTGGGGCGCGGTAGTCAAGCGACACATACACTGCACAGACTCACATGGCCGAGTACCTTCTCTTCCTTCCGCCGCTTCGCGTCCAGCGGCTCCGGCTCGGCGGAGCGGGCGCGGTACTTCGGCTCGCGCCCCTGCGGCGATACCGAGCGCCTCTGCCCCGGTGACGTCACACGTTTTATTTTTAATTAACACACATTGTAGTTAGACGCCCTCGGATTTCGCCATACGGATACTTCAAACTTATTAAGTTTACAGGCTGTATCTATTGTATTTTTAATTCCAGAGACATCGGCCCACTGGATTCATTCTCTTTATTTTTTTTTAACGACGCCCTAACTTTAGTTTAATGTTACATTGTATTGTAAGGACATTTTAGAAACATAACTTTCAAGTGGTTTTGTCCACCCAGATCCGAAACAACTATCTGTGGGTCACACAAAGAGTTGTCCCGTGTGGGAATCGAGCTCACTAATCACGGCGCCAGGCCACGCAAGTGCGCCACGGAGTTATCAAAGCACTCAGCTGACACGGCTGATGCTTGGATGTCATTAAATATACTTAAAATTAAAGCGAAAAAGGAAGAGAGAAGAAAAAGAAAGTGAGATTTTTTTTTTATGTGAAACGTTGCCAAGCGAACAAACGGTACACCTAATGTTAAATGAATACCGCCGCCTATGGTACACCCGAGGGTTCCAGATGCGTTTCATCTTTTGAAAATAATTGATTATATTTATTATTTTCTTTAGAGAAAAACCAACGAGCAAAAGTTGTATAGAGCAGTTTAATATGCGCCACTATAGTGTTTACTTACTTGTTGCATTACCCTAGAAGCCATAAGCCTTTCGTCCTCTCGGGGGGGAGGCTGTCCCGGCAATAGAGGGGGAGGGGCCGGACCGCCGGGTAGGATTGGTGGCTTTATATCCGCTGGGGGAGGTAGTTCGACCTAAGGAAAGAAAATATGATTGATGATTTTTTTATTTTAAAGTTTCAGTAGAGGCTGTTGTCTTAGTGATTTTTTTTCGAATAGCGATTGATAGCAAAAAACCGAAACTCTCTAAACTCTCTCAAGCTTTGCAATTTACTAAATTATTTTGTAAAAATTTTATGCTACCTAATAGACATGAGTGTTTATTTTATACCTAATAGACGAGCATATTTTATACTTTTTGATAAGACATATTTTTACACAGACACAGTCCGAATACTTAAAACTGATGTAACATTATTTCTTGTATTTATGCGAATACAATATCTGATATACATTGTAAACTAGTTCATGGATTTTATTTCGTATAATTTTGTTTTTAATTTTTTTAATACATGGGCAAAATATAATAAATACAAAAGTATCTAATAAGCAAATACGAATAATTTTTAAGGAATAATATGCACTTAAGATGAAATTTAAAAATTAAATTTGCCTGAAAAATGTATAAAAAAAACAAAGTAGACAAAATAGGTTGAGATTTCCGTCCGTGTAAAGATTAAGCTGTTTAGATCAGTGGCTAGAGAGCCAGCCGCGTATCCCTGAGGACGCGGGCTCAAATCCTCGCAGTGGCAAAAACTTCATTTTTCTAATGCAAATTTTTGAAATATGAATAAATTTAGATTTTTCGCATCTGTTAAAGTCGCATCTGAGTTATTTTCGGATGACAGTACATGGAGTCCAGTCAGTCTCACTGTGGGCCACACAAGTTTTCTCTGTTGCACGAACGGACGGACGGGTCCGTCCGGGTAAGTACCGCGACTTCAGAGAAGACCTGCGTCAAGTGGAAAGGTTATACTTCTGCGTTTCATGCGGTAAGTAAGGTAGCCGGTGCCCGGTTTATTAAAAGGTGGCAGCACATCTGTGTTGCAAACTTCAATGAGCGGCGGTTATCACTGAACACCACTTGTCACCGGCTCGTTTGCCACCTGTCAAATAATAAAAAAAAAATATTCGGGGAGCGGAACACGACAAACACGAAGCTACCTTATGCGCCGGCGGCGGCAGGTGGGGCGGAGGGGGCGGCCCGCCCCCGGGGGCGAAGAGCAGCCCGCCCGCGCCCAACAGCGCCCCAGCGCCCCCCACGCCGTGCGGCAGGCCGGCGGACGCGTGGATCTGTTGCTAACGACAACGCGACATCCATCATCCGTGCGTTTGCGACAAAAGAGTGAAGGAAAACAGCCAACGGGGTTTTTGGCAACAACCCGAGATGCCACAGGACAATGTTAGTAGAGGAGAGATTGGGCGTAGAGTTCGGATATTTGCATTCGAGGCCGATCATTTGGACCCTGGTATTTCCAAGTTCGAGCAGCAGGAGCTGTTTTGTGACCTGTTCGCTTCACTACCATCGCAGTCAAGTTACAGCAGTGGAGTTGACCAACAGCACCAGAGATGCCATAGGGAAATATTAGTAGAGATTTGGCGCAGAGTATAAATACTTCCATCTTTTACACCGTGGTATTTCCCCGTTCGGGCCTCTACGTACAATAGCAGCTGTTTTGTAACTATGATCGCAACAAGTTACATCAGTGGAATTGACTACTGGAGAATTTTAGTAGAGAAATTGATATCACAGAATAAACTCTTCCGCTCGAAGCCGTTCTTTTAAACCGTAATACTTCCCCGTTCGAACTTGCTGTTGCAGTAGGAACTGTTTTATAGCCTGTTCGTTTCACTATGATCGCGAGTCAAGTTGTTCGCCAAGTGCCACGTTAGCCACAGACAAACGCGCTGGCTTTGCGGATCTCTCTAGTCTAAACTCGGAGAGATAGTGCGAAGGTAGTTAAACTTTAATGTGTGCAAACAACAGTGATCAACCTACCAAATTAAATAAAGAGGCAAAGTAAAAATATAAATTTGTAAGCAAAACACCCGATAACATGCTTGTGCGCGGTTCTAAACAGCGTGTAAATAGTGCTTTGTATGCGTTATTTCTAAACATTTTAATTAGTCACCATAATCAATGACAACCACATCGTATGAAAATAGCCTGTGCATTTTTGGTATTTTTCAAATACTCAATCAACGCTTTTCATTACCATTCATTTTCTTCTTGCTTACCGTTTTTCAACGCATGTAAACAAAAATTTGCTAGTGCGTGTATGGATCAACTTTTGTCTTCTTTAAAAATTAGTTAATATAGATGAATTATTCTTTTATATATACATATCCTCTTCTGTGCTTGTGTATGTCACTGAAGGCCTAAATATCTGGACCGATTTTAATGAATTTTTTTCTGTTTTTTTCTTTAGGACGATTCGACAATGGACACACAATTCAGGCCAATACAAATTGTTTTTTTATTTTTTTATTGTATAAGTTGTTGTCGGATTTAAATTGTGTGAAAATGCAAAACTCATCACTTATCTCATTGTTATCTAAATATTTCATTACGGTGCTTACATAAACAAACTAATATTCTAAAGATTTCTTGGACTTTATACATCGTGTCGTTACCATCGCGACAATAAATGAACACACGAATAACGCTACTTGCCAATAATCATAAAAAAACGTTATTAACGTTAAACAAAATCCATTATTTAAAAAAAATATTTTTCAAACAAACTAATTAAGTAAAAAAGAAACAAAATTTGTAACATCCTATACAACTCGCGCCACAGCGTCGTATTACAAGCTTCTCCGTCTAACAGTATGTTTTGTCTCTTTTAAATTCATTTAACCCATTCATATGCTTTGTGACCTTTCATCATCATCATCATCATCATCATTTCAGCCTGTTTGAGTCCACTGCTGAACATAGGCCTCCCCCACAGACAGCCATGAAGTACGATCCTGAGCCACCTGCATCCATCGACTTCCCGCACATTTGCACAGGTCGTCACTCCATCTAGTGGGGGGTCGTCCTACACTGCGATGGCCAGTACGAGGCTGCCACTCGAGAACCTTTCTTCCCCAACGGTTATCGGTTCTACGAGCTATATGGCCGGCCCATCGCCACTTCAGCTTGCTAATCCTCTGAGCTATATCGGTTATCTTAGTTCTACTGCGGATGTCTTCGTTACGAACTCTATCACGCAGAGAAATACCTTGTGACCTTTACAAATGAATTTTACGTTACGCTTTTATAGGTAAGGGTGTTCTAAAATTCTTTGTTTTGGAAAATTTAATAACTCTGTAAATATTGACGTTTAAAGAATTTAAATGTTTAATACAACTTTAAAAAGTTATCCCCTATATGTGTGTTCATTTATTGTCGCGATGGTAACGACACGCTGTATACTTTCTTGGATAATACTCTACACGATATTAAATAAAACAATCTCTAACATCAGAAGTTCAAAGTACTCGTTTCGTAGGCTTAATGTAATATATAAAAATATTAGCAAATTGATTAAAGATAGTAAATCTTAAGTTAATCCCAAAAATAATTTCAACAAAGTAAACTTAATTATTTGCCCATACTAATCAAGCATTTTCAAAGAAACATTTGTTTTATTTTTTCAATTAAATTTTCCTCTCATATAATATCGACGTCAAAATATCATGATGTAATATCTACTATATTACATATAATAAATATAATAAGAACGTATTGATTGAATTGTGACGTGACCGTCGCTGGCAAATATATGGATAAACGTACTTCCAACTAGTTCAAACATAACGATACGGGCTTAGCGGATACGGTATATTCGTAATAGGGCTAAAGTTATATTGAAACCTATATATTGCAAAAAAATATAGGAAGAAATTATATTTCTCATAAATTCATAATACAGAAACTCAATGTCACGTCTTCAACGGAATAAAACCGTTTAAAAACTTTAAAGTTAAACGGTTTTATTTTATGTGCACTGAAAACTACAATATTGTATTGTCGTCTAAATTAAATGTGTGTACCAAATTTCAGATCAATCTGACAACGGGAAGGTGCTTAAATTTCAATTTCTAATTTTGACCCAAATAAATAAACAAATAAATTCCGTACGGGTCGAGCTAAATAAAACCGTTTAATAAAACTAACACAATTTTCTATTAAGAATATTAGAAGAGAGAGGGAGAAGGCTTGGTTTTGAGAGAGAGAGATAAAGATACAATGCTTGAACTTTGAAACTACATAACAGCTGTCTGACATAGAAAACGATGTTCGGATGTGCGCAAGTACCCAGTCTCGGCTTACAAACAATCGATTTCTGTGTGAAAACTGCGACACGGCACAGGTGTGAATCGGGCACCATTAAATACACGAACAAAGACATTCGTATGGTATACTTGTTTGAACAGTTTGCACATACTTCTATAGAAATACAACTTTTTTATGCAGAAGGCGGATGAAGAAGCGGTTCATCTAATGAAAAGTGATCACCGCCGCCAATGGACATTCGACGCACTAGAGGTTACAAATGATGAAAAGTATGAAATGTGTTTATTCTCAAAAATGCACAAGCTTAAAAACCAAAACAAAAAAAGTTAAAGTACATCAATTTTTTTTCATAATCTCAAATGTTGGAAAATAAACAATGAGTTAATCACAACAATTAAATACAACAAGCACGATTAATGTTCTAAACTTACAAGAAGTTGCTGTAGGCCCTGTTGTTGTTGTTGCTGCGGACAACAATTATAAAAGTAACGCTGGATTATAATTATTGCGATCTTGATTTACAACTTAACTCCAATGATTGGCACAGGTTTCATGTTATTGCATGTTGCTTGTCGCATATGCATTAAATATTATACATTAACCATATTTTACTGAACAAATCTAAATAAAACTTAGTAAAAAATTTATATAATCAGGATCAGGATTAATCAGGACTAAACAAACTAGGTAACGCAAAAAATATGCTTTAACTCAAGCTGTAATTGGAAAACATAAATTTTATTTGAAAAAGTTTAAGAAAATATTTCAGATAGTTGTCAAATTTTTTTTTAAATGAAAAATATTGTTAAATAACTTACCAGCTGAGCGTTGCGAAGATGTGACATAAGATATGAAATAAAACGAAATAAGAAACATAAATAAAAATATTACTAGGTAGCATAAACTAACACAGTATCTAATATTCAAACTATTCATGTTTGTAAAAATATTTTAATCAAATACAATTTTCTTAATAAAAATGTTTGGCCTCTTGAGATTGTTAAGAATTTGCATAGAAGTAAATGTAAATATATTTAATGCAATTCTATATAAAATAGATGCCAATAATTGGAGTGGAACTTTGGGACTTTAATATCTCCAATATAAGAAAGTAGCATCTATATCTTAACAATTCCATAGGGAAAAAGAAACCCACTTGTTAACAAGCTTTTTATTAACTTACCCCGATAATAGCATTAAGTTCAGACATAGTGACCTGCTTAGCTCGCTCCACAGCTGAGGCAACTTGTTGCTGGTGCTCCTGTGCCAGGAAAGGCAGCACTTGTCCTATAATACCACTAAGTCTTTTTGCTATCTCCGTCTGTGAAGAAAGTTGTATTGATTTAGCAATTTTAGCAGACAGTATTATTACCAAAAGATGGTTTTAAGAAAAAATCTACTTCATTTAAAGTGAGTTTTTTTTTAACATACAGTGGTGGGCATATATTTAAAAACACTTCTTATGAATAAAGAAAGTATAACTTCAACATACAAATTTTCATAAAAAACATACACATTCAATAATTAATAATCATGCAATAATAATGCCACTTAAATAAAAAACTTATTCAATGCATATAATATCATATCTTACTTTTAATTACAAAATGAGTCTTACACATGTAGGAGTTTACTTTCTGTTACTGGCCGCTTGGACGCCTAATTAGAAACATTTAAAAAAAGCATCCATAGCATCATTCTTTTTTTTTAAATTGGAGAATAACATTTCTTTCTTGGCTTTTTCTATTATTTTTGGCGGCAATTCAAAATTTAATCTGAATTTTCTATTATTTTGTTCAAAATGGGTAAAAATAAAAGACGTGTCAACTAGGTAAATAATTATTAATTAATTAATTTACGTACAGATCATAAGTGGGCGTACAGAAGAATAGCTGAGCATTTAAATAATTGTTCTGTTAAGAAAGTTTATAAATGCAATTGATCATTATAAAACACATGGAGCTGATGAAAATGTTCTCGGCCAAGAAAAACCTTTCCCAGAGAAGATACGCTAATCGTTGCTGTGTTTTTCCAGATGTGGAGTTGGACCCGTACGGAAGACTGACGATACAATGGATCAATAGCAATACAAAAATATCTTAAGAGCACACAATGATTCCCTACTCGGACAAAATTTGCCTGTAACTTGGATCTTTCAGCATGACAATGACCCTAAATACACGGCCAATAGCATCAAATGTTTCCTTTCTGTTTTAGACTGGCCAGGAAATAGTCCGGATTTAAACCTGATAGAAAATCTCTAGAATATTATAATACTGTTAAAAAAAGTCAAACAAACGTAACACCAGTCAAAACAAACTACAGGAAGCATTTGTTGAAGCATGGAATTAAATCGGCCTAGAAAAATGTATGAAATTGATTGAATCAATGCCACATTGTTGCAGTGCTGTTATTGAAATTGTCCATAATATAATATTAAAACTTGTGTAATGGGATTTATATTTTTTTTTTTAATAAATGATAAATTGTTGAACATACTGTTGTCCTATTTATTGTTTAATTTCAAAATAAAAACAATTGTGGGTAAATATCTTACATAATGTCAAGGACCGGAGGTAGTGTTTCTAATTATATAACCACCACTGTAGATCAATCAAAAACCTAAAAATAGAGTTCCAGATCTGGCTCTCTTTCATTAGATGATAAATCAATAGATTATAAGATATGTAATAACATAGGCAATCATTTATGCTTTTAATACTGGATCAATTATAAGACTTAGTTCTTTTTTGTTTATAGTAAACAGCACAACTGCTCACAAGTAAACAGTGTATGTGAATTTATCAAGCAATATTTGCCTATCATAACATTAACTCATATTTAGTGATATTATTATGAGTTAATAAACAGATCACAAATAAATTAGGTACAAGTTTTTGATATGTAAAATAATGTGAACAACCTTGCAATATTTCAGGTATCATTGTTTTAAAATGAAATTTTACAATGTTAACTATCAAAGAGTAAATATAAAAAGGAATTACCTGTTTATGCATTTCAACATTCAATCCATATGACATTTCATAGTACTGTAAAAGAGAAACAACAACATTAATCACTTCCTAAATAACCAGTAATTCATCTCAATGATGCAGTTAATCATTTATAGGCTTACCATGACATAATGCCTTTGCATTTCCGTTTTTTCACTGGCCAGTTTCTCACATTCTAATTTCAAGCTGTAAAAAACAATTTAAGAAGCTGAAAATAACTTATCTTCATTAGGAAAATACAAGTAACAAGTTCAAAACTCACGAATGATATTGGGCTTGTAAAAAGTTAAACTCTTCTTTAATTCGCTCTAATGTGTCTGCTATAGTAAACTTTATAGGTCCTGCCGCGGGTTGTGGACCCTAAAAAAAGAAAACAAACACAATAAAGGAGTCTTTGCGAAATCTTTACTGCAAAAGCCATTCCATCAAATATATGATTCATAATGTAATGAGAAGCCTTGAAAATATAAGAAATAACACAAACCCTTACCGCGGCAGCCGGATGCCGCGTCGGCGTCGGATACATAATGACACCAAACTAATTAATATCTTAAAATTATACCGATTAAATATAGTTCTCTTTAGATCCGTGTAAAGAAAATATTGCAAACACCATTTCCAACTTCTAACCCACTGCTATAAACTATTGTATTCGAGGAAACTACGGTTAGGCGCTAAGGACAATGATATGCACAAACTTTGCTTTAAAACTTTTGAAATATCAGTCATTATCTCGACATGTACAACTTTTAGTTATGTTATGAAAAATACTTTAAATGTACACAATACTTTTAAAGTATAGAATATTTTTATAGCAAGCAACAGTTTTTGTTTCGCAAAATTTAACCATAAATCCACGCCGCAATTTTTGTTCGGCTGTCATGTCATCTATCTATCATTCGCGTTCGTTCATCATTCATCAAAGGATAAAATAAATAACAAGTGCTGTCTATCGTTCTGACCGTTTCAAAGAATAACTTTTGAATTATATCAAAAACTACAATAAACATAATCCCAATAAATAAAACTAATAGAAGTGCTATACTAACGCCATAATTATTCAGTATAATGTTAGATAATATACTATTAGTAGATAATGTTAAATAATTATGGCAAGACAAAAATCAGCATAAGGTAGATATTTGTATCATTTATTGGAAACTGAGGTGAGGTCACTGGCTAAGCCCGATAGAAGACTAGTAGCATCCATGATGGCAATGATCGCAAAACGTAAATTGAAACACAATTGACATCGGATGCTCTTTCTCTCACAAAAAAAGGCTATTTAAAAATGTTATATAAATTTTTATGTTAATTTTAAGCAATATCCAACATTTATGTTGTTAATAAATAAACATTACTGAGAAATTAAATAAATGCAATTGACATTTGATCAAACAAAAAGTATTAAGTGTCTATGGTTTAAAATGAGATAAATTTTCTCGTCCCTCGTCCGCTTTTTGATGGCAGATTGTGATTGTCGTTGTCGCGTATCTGTTCATTAATTAAGTGCGGTGTCGGAGTGTTTTGAAATAAAATAATTGGTTCCTTTGATATATATTGTGAAAAAGTGCATTTTCAATGATTATTTTTAGAAGAAAGTGCTGTTCTTAAAGTGATATTTAGATTATTGTTGTTATTGCATTGCGAAGAGGACCATTATGGATTTCAAAACAGCCGTTTTTAACGCAGCACGGGATGGAAGTCTCACGCGACTAAGAGTAAGTATTTATAATTCTAACGGCAGTATTTAATTTACTTGTTACAGTGTTAATAAAATTACGAAATAATGTTTTTATATAGTATACAATTGTTCTTTTATATTTATACAGTTAAGAAAAATACAACAGGTACCGTATTTTATTTACGAGGTAATAGATTAGGATGAAACGGAATCTTATTGTCAATTCGACCTTATCCAAATTAAAAAATATATTAGTTTTCTAAAATAGTTCTTAAAGGTACATAGTTCAAAGTTATTATAGAAATATTTAGGAACACTTCAGACCTATGGTTTGATTTTTATCTTTAATTTATTCCTTATACCAAATTTTTATCGTAATCTTAACATTCTTATTTTAGTAATCAATTTACGCCAACTGAGTTTTGTTAAAGTGTGGTAATTTAGATGTTATTTTATATAATTATATCGAAATATTCTAGATAAGGTTATGTTATGTAAATGGCGACTTTTATTTTAAATTGTCAGGAGTACTGTTCAAGTGAAATTAGCTTGTTTCAGAAAATAGTAAACTCGTCAAAAACAGAGATAAAAATTACAGCGATTTTGCAATACCTTTTCTTACATAAAACCAATTCAACAAGAGTATGGTTTTTTTAAATAGTAGTGATATTAAAGTGCCATTTCATCTTTCATCCATTAGGCATAATTTTGGTTTTTGGAAACTTCTGTTTTACTGATGATGGAATAACAGTACAATATGTAATAGTAAAGAATATAAATATAGCAATATAGCAATAAGTTTATATAGAAAAAAATATTGAGAATTGAGTGTAGTGAATAAAACCAGTTTGACTTTGTTACCCTGGATCACTGATCTGCATCATTTAAACTAAGGTCTTTAAATCATTAATGATTGATGTAATACACATGTAAAAATAAGTAATATACACTTCCAATGCTTCTCTAATTGGGCTTGTAACTGTTAAGTGTATTTATTGGAGAAAATAACAGCAAAATAGGAATTTTCTATCAGCATCATAATCCTGTAATGCAATTAGGTGGCCAGTTGTGGAACTGTTGAACTTATAAGGAATTAGATGACCATGATGTAACAGCTTGTTCTTCTTGTTATATTTGCATTTATTTACAACATGCAATATTAATCACTTGCCATAAGGATACAATACACATGTTAATATGTGAAGAAAAGTTTATGATTCATTTAAATAGAGGAATATTGCAAATATATTTTTCCTTATATAAAATCTACCTTTTTAATTATTTTCTTTTTTGATAGAAGTTATTCTCATGTCATTTTTAAAGCAAAATAGATGAGATATTTAAAACTCAGTTTCCTTAAAGTAATGAAAATGTGAGCTCCTGTTTTTAACTCCGTACAGCTTCCATTTATTGCCTGTTAGAAATTTAATGACCAAGATAGAGAAAACAAAGTTAAAATGTGTGAAATACAAGAAATGAGAAACTTAGCTGTAGACTAAGTTTCTAAGTTTTAAATGGTTACATATTTCAGACCAAAGACTAAAGAAACTGATATGAATTGAGAAGTATGAACAAAAGGTGTTTGGTGTTGTTGACATCTATTGTGAAATGTTGGCTAGTGAATAGGTCGTTCACCTGGTTTAGTGATTAATGCCACCTTTTATAATTAATTCAGAATTGCCATCTTAAAAAAATTCAGCACCAGTTACTTTATTTATCAAACAAAATGCAAAAGTATAACTCTTCCACTCACATCAGGCTTCTTTAAGGCCATGGTGCTTTTCTAGACAAGTCAACCTATTTGTGAACACTACAAACTATTGGTTAACCATACTAATTACATACTATATATCATAGGAGAATCCTAAAATGTAGTACATAATATAAATATATGTACATAACAAAGTGCAGTTGTTGTTACCAAACAAAATGTCTTAAGAAAAATGCCCTCATTCCCTTTTTCTTTGTCCAGCATTAAAAAAAGTGTCTCCTATGCTGATTTACCCATGTATAAAATTTGAAATATTTTTTTAAATTGTAAATTTGTTGTAAAATTGTTGTGGTGTAGTAGACTGGTGATTCCAAATGAGTGTCAATCATAGTGGAACTCTATGTTTGAGGCCTTTCTTTAATAGTGAATTGTGTGACCAAATTCAAAGCAATTTTTTGTCTGTGTTTTTATACCAGATGACTCAATCAACACTGCAGTTATGCTGCATCACTATAGGCCAACATAAGTTTTTATTGTAACAGAAATGTAAAGTTAAAAATCATGTTGATTGATCTTATATCATTAATACAATAGCTTTCTTTTCGGTATTAATTTCAGAAAATATACAAGTTTTTAAAATTTTCAGTATCTGTTTTGAGGACAATTGCATTAAATGTTATTACGCCACATTTTCGTTGGTGTACAATCATAACCACTCCGTAGGGAAAGTGGGTTTCAGTGCGACGACCCCATTCGTTTCCTTGTTTACACTACACGACTGTACCGGAGTAAAGCGTGGGCGAACCGAGAACTGGCGATTGAAGCCGACACCGAACATGATTTTATTGCACGGCGTTCTATTGATTCGTGAATGTTGGTATATTGATGTCCTTATAGCAATGTTTCTTAAACGAAACGAAATCCATATGTACCGTCGCTATCAATGGTGTCCTAAATGTAGTAACAATATAATCGCTGTTGACAAAAAACCTCACGACTGTATGAAAAAAAAATTGTGAGGGACATTCGCCTGCAAAAGTAACGTGACCTTTTATTCCCTTAGTTTTGATATTTTAAAGTCGTTCGCTGACATGTCAAGGAATCCCGTGGCCTCCTTCAGTCGACTTAAATATAGTGTCCCGGGAATAATTCGCCCAGGCGGCTTACTCATTCCAGATGCGGCGTATGCCGACTCCTAAGCTGACTTATAAAACGACGTGATGAAATTCAACTGCAGTACAAAGACTTTGTACAACTGTTTCACGTAATTTTCGTTGAAAAAAATTGCAGAAACTTCATCACATACATGGAGAATGTCGTTTAAACACCCTGAATTTCTTTAAAATAAAGGACACACCTAAATTACATATGCTGACCAAGTAATACGTTGTTAATCAGTAGCAAATATTCGATTTATAGCATTTTTTTGAAATATAAAATCTATTGGAATTAAAACGCTGTTTAAAGTTCGCCGTCTGAAATAAAACTTTGTGATAATATCGCAAAATCTACTCTCATCAGAAGTAAAATTGAAAAATATAAGTAACAAAAAAAGCCCATATGGCCCAGAGGGTATTCGACTGAAGTACTTCAAAAAGATCCACCGACACGAACACATTGCATACATTTAAATAATGGGTATATTATTATTCTTATTTGTTTATGTGTGCGACATTACCAGTGCCTCTCGGTTCGTTTATACGCTGTGATTACGTTTCTATCTTTTCATGTATATTCGAACGCATTTCGTTGCCTCAACAAGCTAGATAAATCGAAGCGATCGGAGTGACGTTGCGTTGGAAGTTTTGCCCGAACGTTCCACGCCCGCTAATTTAACAGAGCCGATGTATAATTTAGAGCCGTTGTCATCACGGAATGCTCGTTAACGGAGCATCGGTCCCACGGACAATTTCTCTCCGGTAGGTTGAGCGCGAGACGCATTTTTTTTATAAGTGCGGCTTGATTATTTGAAGGCAAAAACGCGCGTTAGTTTTCTTTTATTCCGATTATGTATTTATTAGGTTGTTATTACATTGCAACCTAAAGAAAATTACGTTACAATTTACAGCGTTCATGGTGACGAGACACGGGAATTTAAAATCAAAATAAAACTCGATAAAATCGGTAAAGT